CAGAGGCACTTTTGGATATTGAAAAAAGCACCTAACAAAATTTTTCCCGAGAATGTTGGCGACGGGGGGAAGAAGGAAAAATTTTCCTGTTATACTATACCGTAATTGCGCGTTTTTTACCAACTTTTTCTAAAAACATCGAAATTACCAAATAAAAAGGGCACCTTTGATGTTAATTTAGTATTTACAGCGACATTAGCTCGTACAGAAAGCGCCCCCCGGTTCCTACGCCCCTGTAACTTCCAAAGATTAAGAATCGAGGTAACAAATTCAATTTAAATCAGCATTTTCTACCTGCAGAAATCATTCGTTTTAAACTCCTACAGTCCAGTTACAATGCTTTGACAGAAAACACAGAATTAGGAAAAGGTGTTTCTGCATGTGTGGTTGGTTTTTATCCAGCCAAGTGGGTGAAAATGAATGAATTTGCCTTGGAAACGTCAAGCATCTTTGGATCCCTAAACATACTGTCTCCATCAGCCTCAGTAAACAGTGTTTTATATATCGTTAGATATTTTTTCTGTTTGGACGAAATTGTATTTCTCAACTAGTCACACTCAATTTTTATTTTTGCATTAGGACGTCAAAGTGGCAAATCCAGCCTAAAAAAAAAGGCCCCAGCATTCTCTGCAACTCCAACACGTATCCGTTATGACGATGCAACTACACGTAATATCAGAAGAGAAGGTATGCAATTGTCTTGTTTACGTTCTATAGAGTGTCGATATTAGATATATATAAGCAATCAGTGAAGGCTGTTTTGCATACAGTACACAAAAGACAACATACATGCAGCTATTTCAGAAGTTCGAACATGATATGGCCACGATCAAATGGGAGCCAGTTTTTACGTTCTTCCTAAAATTATGAATGTTTGGAAGTTTATCACTGCACTTTCCTCTAGTATTTTTTGTGTGTTTTCATTCAATTTTTCATTCATGTTACACAAGCCGGACAAGTTTTGGTGCTGTTTACGTCTGGCGTAGAGTCATGTTATGCGACAAAACGTATTCACAGAAACTATAGTTGAGAACTTGTCCCGCATTTCACTCTGCCGAACTTTTCATCACTTGATATAGGCCTACCACAAATGTATAAATAAATGAAAGAGAATGACAAATATTAGCAAGTGAAATATACAAGGAGAACATGGACGTTTCGAGAGAAGGCCCTTCGTCTGGAACTTAGTAGGATTTTCGCTCGAAACGTCAAAGTTCTCCTTGTATTTTTTCAGGTAGTTGGATCTTCATCAATCCGAAGCACTTTTAAACATAACATCGTTTTATGTCTGAAATTACGTTAACATACCCCTAGCGTATGCCAGCGTATACAGGCGTACATACACACATACATATTTTATTGCGGCGTTTCTCGATGAGGCTTTTCGACACCAATATACATGCAATGCAGATAAATTTACGTAAATTTGCGAAATGAGCCACACAACTATAGAACATACAATCTATTCACTTCACTTTTAGCAGTAATTTGGGTGAATGAGATGTCATTTGAAAAACCTCAAATCTGACGTCCAGACCAGCTATTTGCCTATTTCAAGTCCTTGCAGTTAGCTTCACTAGCTTCAAAGGCTCGGATTGGATTAATAGAACAAACTTCTGACTTTGAATAAAAAATCGAGAATTTCTATTATTTCAGACCAAAGCAAGAACACCGATCAGACAGCCAGTTCCAGGGATGACAAATGTTCACTTTGTCTGCGTGGCCTCACAGATAAGAAAACCTTAAGTAAATGTGGCCATTCATTTTGTGATGGCTGTATTGACTGCTGGCTGTATAAGAATAAATGTCCAGCTTGTCCACAAGTTTATTGTCCTTCGATTGGAAATCAACCTCCGGGAAAGATGACTGATAGTGTTCAGTCAATGCGTTTGCCCGGCTTTGAATCTTGTGGAACTATTGTTATAGTTTACACATTTGATAGTGGCGTCCAAGGAGAAAATCATCCAAACCCTGGTCAGCGATACACTGGAACACAGCGCCGTGCTTATTTACCTGACAACAAAGAAGGGCGAAAGGTTCTTAAGCTGTTGAGAAAAGCTTTTGATCAGAAACTGACTTTCACAATTGGTCCGTCCTCCACAACTGGAACTAATAATGTTATAACTTGGAACGACATTCATCATAAAACCAGTGTGAAAGGAGGACCAACAAGGTATGTCAGTCGAAAAGAGATGAAATAATAACTAGTTTAATTTTCAATGACTTTCGTTTTGTTGTAAGTTCTTCGCATTAGTTTACAATTTTTTAAGAATTTGTTAGTTCGACTTGATTAACCATCAAAGCACTGCTCAAACATGCATGGGAATTAATGAAAGTATGCCAGAGCGAGTTTGCATGATAGTTTCTCTCAATTATTAGTTTTCTCAATTATAATGTCCCGGACAGCAAAACTCTCGTAAGCCTGGATCAAACAAGGATGTCACGCGACCTTGGTTAGCTGTTCTTAATGCTTTCCCAACACTACACTCTAAAAACTGGTGTGTAATTTTGCACACCAAATTGTGTATAAATACACACATTTTCGAAAAAAAATTCTTTTGCAATATGGAAGCCAAGGTGCGTAATTATACACACCTTGTATACACAATTACACACCTTAGGTGTGTACGATTACACACCATTGGGTGTGTAAAATTACACGCCTTTGTATTACACATTATATTGAAAGAGGTATTAGATAACTAAACACAATGGATTATACAAAAAAATGTTCTCATATACGTTCAATAGACCTTATGCATAATGACGTCACAAGGCTTGATGCGGAAAATTTCGATAGTGGCCATTTTGAATTGTTTAATTTTCCCGGGCGATGACTACTAAGACCAGCATTTCTCGCGGGCTTCAAGCCTTGTGACGTCATTATGCATAAGGTCTATACTCCTCTAAGTCTCTAACTAACTAACTTACTTCCACTAACTTGCTTCCTTCCACTAACTTGCTTCCACGTTTTAAAAAACGTAATTAGTGGAACATTCATCAAACCTTCATTTTGTTAAAATCTTGAGCGTGAAATAATTTGTGACTGCGAACTCGCATCGACTCTCATCCTCGTTTGACCAGGGCATTGAACTCTCGTCAAAACTTGAACCAGCTCAAAGTTGATTAGAGTGAATGAGAGTTGATGAGACTTGGCGGGAAAACGCGAGCGAGCTAGAGTTGCCGCTCTCGTTAACTCTCACCTCGTTTGCAAGGGTACGATGGCTCCTTGAGGTGCATCCATAAAATACTGTTCGCCAGGGACGCCGGAACGATGTGAAGGCAAGGGGGCAGGTTTTCGTGAAAGGACGCTTTTGAATTGATATATACTAAGAGATGTTTGCAAAACATGGAGGCTTGAACTTCGGCTAATCATGTTTTCTATTTATTGAATGATAGGGGTGTGAGGGGGTTCTCCGCCAGGCGATTGTGCTATTCTTGAAGATCGATGACTGCATTTCTTGCGTTTTCTGAAGAAAATTCGCAAAAGAATTGCGCTAACATTTCTGACAATTTACTATTTCGCCAAGGCAATTATTTAAATTAAAAGAACACCTTTGCCCCCCTTTCCCCTCCTGGTAAAGGGCAACGGGGGCGGCTGCCCCTCCCCCAGTTCCGGCGTCCCTGCTGTTCGCCAATGTTCGTATAGCCTAAAATATTATATAATTGAGCCATATACAACAGTCATAACAGTCATTCCGTAGTTTTATGCTCTTAATTTGACTCATATATAGTGCACTACACTAGTTGATTCTATTTTAGCTTTGGTTATTCTATTTTAGCTTTGGTTATCCTGATCCGGATTACCTGAAGAGAGTTCAAGAAGAACTGGCTGCAAAAGGAATTACAGAATAAACAAAGTGGAAGCAAGTTAGTTAGAGACTTAAGGTAGCATTAAACGTATATGAGAACATTTTCTCTGTATAATCCACTGTGTTTAATTATCGAATACCTCTTTCAATATAATCAATATACTCATAATTGCACTATATTTTAATGAATCTGCACCATAAATTCAAATTTGTGTTAAATGTTGGTGTGGCTATTATGTTTATGTTGTCATCATTGGAGGCCCAATGGTAGTTGTAATGGACACAAAAAGATTGAAATTGCTTAAAATTCAATAAAATTATATTTATAATTTATTAACTTTGCCTCTTATGTACCAGGCTGGGTCATGCACCGCAACAGTAGTAGCCAATTACTGCGGTCCCATATATTGCCGTGAACTTAATCTTCTCAAGTATTATCGTGAAAATTTTCAAACGACTATCTTCGTTGCAAAAAAGTGTTGAATAAAAGCTTGCGACATTTGCACTGCAATCTTGAGTGATGATTACCTACTGTTTAATAAACGAGCAGGAGTGTTTTATTAGGTTTAAACCTGATAAATCTGATGATTTTATCAGCAGATAAACCAAATATTTCAACACTGTTGCATCATGATGTTGGGAGTATTTCAACACTATTGCATATATTTCAACACTGTTGCGTGATGGTAATCGAAAGGTTTGTAAGTTAAATTTATAACTTATTGGCAAATCATGTCAACCATAATATGTCACGTGAAGAGGCTTTACATACCTGATAAAATTCATCTTCATTAGTATTATTTCATTTCTTTGTATAAAAGTCCATCCTAATTAGTAATCTTTATATAAAGAATAGTAGGCCTAATGAGACGACATCAATTGTAGTCTTGTTTGAAGCTTTTTTTTTTTCTTTTGTAGTCGTGTTTTATCATATTTATAATGCTCGTGCTGCGCGCGCACTCGCACTTTATATATGATATAAAAACACCCTACGTGAACACCGCGGAAAAACGTCTGCGCGTGCACCAAATTATGAAAATATGGCGGGGAATTTGAATATCAATTTCTAAAACAAAAACATGCTTATTAATTGGTCAAAAATTAGTAAAACAAACGAGAAAATATAGCAAATGAGTAGACTAGACATTAATTGAAAGCGTCCTGGCATTTAAAGTATGGAATGAAATATAATTCATGTAAAAAATTGTTGATTTTAACGGACACGACTTCGAAAATTTTTGCAAAATTATTCAAAACAAAAATTCAAACTAAAAAGTTAAGAAAACTCTCGAAAAGTTAAGCTTCTTAACCCACTCAAATTGTAGAATAAATCCTAAAGTTTAATTATTGTGAACACGCAAATTTTTTATATTTGGCGACACAGTTTTTTTTAAAGAAATGTATCTCAAACGAAAATTCGGAAATTGTCGTTGCTTAGTTGATAAACAAAATGTTTCAGACGATAAATTTGTCAACAATCACCTTTAGTTCATGTTCTTGTACAATACAATTTCTTGAACCTTCTGGCTGTATTTATTCCTAGTTTTTAGAATGACATGTTTATTTTTGCGCTCGAAATCTGGCTGTAAAGACGCACAATGAAGTCACTCCTTTTTACCGCCATTTTGAGCGTTCGGAAACATTCGGAACAGCTTCTCATCAAGTTCGCAATACTATTACAGGTAAGGTTGAAGCATGCGCAGACGTTTTTCCGCGGTGTTCCCTACGTGTGTTTTAAATAGCACTTACCAGTTAGACCTGGCTAAGAACAGCTGCAAAAACTGCAACTTTGGGTCCCTGGCGGGAATTGAACCTGCGGCCCTGCGATTCTCGGTGCAGCGCTCCAACCAACTGAGCTACAGAGGCTAGTTGTCGAGCTCTAACACAAGTTAATGTATATATACATAAGGTACTGCCGTGTTTAGGTTATGAGTAAACATCGAGGCATATCTCACTCGATTAAATAATAGTTGAAGGGTCTTGTAGATGGAAATCTATATACCTAAGGGACCGTTCATTATTTATACCTGGGGTTGGCATCGAAGAGAAGCGAAAAACAGTGAAAATTTTTTTATTTACCCAACCTCAACATTGGTCAAAATAATGTTTACCCAACCCATGTGTCACTGTACTTCATAATAAATAAACACACAGTGTGACAGCTCACCGTCTCACTCAAACTCACTGAGTGTGCCAAAGCAATCACATTCCTGCTGATCAATGTTAGTCCTTCCTCAATCACTGATGCATGGTCTATTTTTTACAGATTTTTCTTGATATTTTCCAATGCATGGTAATTTTGGTTTTATTTTATTTTGTAGCTGACAGACAGCCATAAACCTTTTTACCCAACCCATGAGCTAGTCAAAAACTTGATTACCCAACCCATATCTCTTCGGTACCAACCCCGGGTATAAATAATGAACGGTCCCTAAAGTTGCATTTTCACAGCTGTTCCTGGTTACATAGGTCTAATAAATTTATATAAATTTCCACTCGACAACTTCCATCTACAAAACCTTTTGAATCGAACTTTGGGAACTTTTAAATCCGGAATTGGTGATTTTGTTGGGACATTATGTGCAAGTTTGCAGGAGCTTTGTTTTTCAGAACTGCAGAAAATACTATTATGATTTTCTTCATTTTGATCAAGTTATGTAAAGGACCTATTTCAACTTGTAATCCATTAACACTTCGCAATGAATTTATTTAAATGAAATACGAGCAGCTTTGTTTTTAAAATAAACTTTCTCAACATTGCTAAATTGTGTGCTAAATATTGTGTTAAGCAAAATGTCAAACATTTCAATTAGTCCATGCAGGAGAAACGCGACATCGAATGATATGTAAAAACTGCAGAATGACTAGTAAGTTCAGTCGCATTCCTGTCAAGGCCTTCAACTAAATTATAAGAATTGTAATTTGATACTAACAACAAGGGTTTACAAAGAACTAATACCGAAAGTTCAATCATGTGATTAAAAAGCAATAAAATCTCTGTAGGGTCTCGTTTCGCGTCATTGACTCATTGCCGAAGCTCAGACTAACTCGACGTGTAAAATGGTTTCCTTCTGAAATTTATGTCGTTTTAAATGGCTTGTGCTTTAGAAACTGACCCGATCAATCAACTTGAAGAAAATCTACAATGTACCGTATGTCTGGAAGTATTAGCGGATCCCAGAACCCTTCCTTGCTTCCACTCGTTCTGTAAAGTTTGTTTGGAAGGCGTTGTGGAAACATGTCGCGACAAAGCACCTCGCGGCCAACCTATTCGAGAGTTTCCATGTCCAAATTGTCGTGCGATGTTCATACTTGATCCCGACAAACAGGTCACCGACATGCCACGGAACCATTTCATCTGTAACATGGTTAAAGCGACGGCCGAACTCGATCGTGGAATCGGTGTTCCTTGTTCACATAATTGTAGTCAAAGCTATACTCGGTCGCTCGCTGCGTCACCTGTGAAAAATTCCTATGTCGGGAATGTCTGACAGATCACAACAAATATCGAGCCAACAATGGTCATTCTGTTCTAACGATGGAAGAGTTATCGAAGCCTGAAAATCGGAAGAAAATCAACGACAAAATGTATTGCAATGAGCATTCGGGCATGGAATTAAAAGTTTACTGCAAAACTTGCGACCAACTGATTTGCAGGGACTGCATGGATTTTAAACACGTCCAGCAAGGTCATTCGTGTGTTCTCGTCAACGATGTCGCGAGCAACTATAAGGAACTTCTTGCTTCAGATAACAAAGCAATGCGGGAAGACGCTTTAAATGAAAGCAATGCCTCTAATAAACTATTAAGCCTTACACCAGAACAACTTGATCGCAATGCTGAAAATGCCAAAAATAAAACTGAGAAAAAGAAAGCATTGGTAGCAATATTAATAATAATAATAATAATAAAACTATTTATTTCTCCTAACAAATAAATAATTTTGTTGAAGGGTTTGAAGCCAGGTTTATTCATTTATTTGTATTGTTCTTTCAGATTACTGACATGTTTTATTTTGTCTAACGTTTCGGTTTCCTCTACGAAAACCATTTCAAAGATTTGACAACAGAATAGAAAATGTACCAGAAGCTACACTGTACACCTTTCCCTAACATTTTCGTGTCTGCGATTTTCGCCTTGCGGATCACGAATTTCGCACGTTAGATGACGTGTGTGACACTTGCTGCGAACATATCAGCATCAATTCCCAGCCTCGTCCCCGGCGAGTGAGAAACACGCGTGGGCGGGAAAAGGGGGAAATGTAGCTGCGCGTCGCAAACCCCACGCACGTACTGGAGCCTGGGACGAGGCTGATCAATTCCTCAAATCAACGGGTTTTTGAAATTCACAAAACATGCTCAAAGTGTACGCTGCATATTCTGCAATTATTGTGTAAATATTTTACGCTTT